GATATCGGCTAACCGGCTCAACACGTTATACGTGTGAGTGCTGACAAGCTATGGTACGTATACCATGAAAAGCTGAGTTGGGAATGAAATGGTGCCCCGGTAGCGTAACTGGTAGCGCACTTGCCCGGAAAGCGAGAGGTGCGGGTTCTAGTCTGGGGCGAAAGTTTTGAAAGTTGTGCTAGGCGACAACCCAGCATACCTGTGAAAGATGTTGATAGATTTATGGTAAGTGCCTATTCAATCCGGTTATTGCATTGCGCACTAGGCGTAGGGCTTAAGCAACTTGGACAAACTATGCGACGGCAGATAACGCAATTTCCGAGGCATCCCACTATTGTTACTTCGAACGTGCGAGCTGATATTCTGCAGGTTTGAAGCCTAATGTACGTTATCAAGGAGAAGGGGCTTTATTATTCGATCCATTTAATAATATTTTATTGACTTACAAGTCCACTTTGAGGGAATGGTTTGCTTCTATTGTGAACAACAACATGGTGCAAGCCAAATCGATTATGTTCATCCTTGACTCCACTGGAACAGTTGGACAATCAGGATGGGATCAGGTATGCTTAAAATGAGCACGAGTCTGTATTGGGAACCTCAAGACAATGCTGGAAAATCCATCTTCACTCTGTGCCCTGATTACGTCACAATCACAAGCACAACCTATTATAGAAAAAAAGAAATTAAAGAAACACGTTTTGAATGATTCATTAGTGACAAACCAAGCACTGGGAAACCCTGTATGTCGCTCTCCGAAAATAATACATCCTCGTATATGACAGGAGGGATGCATTCGGGAAATGCTGCATACCAGCACTTCCCAACGTAGGCCCGCTCCGAAATCGTCCTGATATTGTCTAGATTTTTCACTTAATTTTGGTCATTTCGGTCGCTCAAAAAACGTTTATTCTGGAAAATCTCCCCCACTTCTTTTGTGTTTGAACATTAAATTAATCAGGAGCAATGGCCGTGCGATGCCTGGAATTACAATCATGACAGTTTCCAGCAATACTTACAAGGAAGGCTCCCAGGTCGCCATGGCCATTCAAGAAGAGATGTATACCACTAGATGTGCCTTTGAACGCTGATCTCAAATCTACCTTCCAAATCTGCTAAACGATTCTCTGAACGGAGTTATGAAGCAAAACAGCGCAACGGTAGTGGTCGGGATTCACAGTCAAAACGTCGTAGGATCGGTCCCTTATCGTGTTACTGTTTTGCATTCTTCAGGAATTCAGTTAAATAGGCTATTAAAAGCCGTTTAGCTGTATTCCTGAAGAATGGAAAACAGTAAACACGATAAGGGACCGATCCTACGACGTTTTGACTGTGAGTCCCGACCACTACCGTTGCGCTGTTTTGCTTCATAACTCGTTCAGAGAATCGTTTAGCAGATTTGGAAGGTAGATTTGAGATCAGCGTTCAAAGGCACATCAAGGCGTATACATCTTTCCTGGCTCGATTTCAAAGTTCGCCTTACCAGTGACTTTCATATGAGATGTCATGTAATACTGTTTTTATGGTGGAAATTCTTTTTTAATGTCTGCTGTAGTTAAGTAGAGAAGCTCTACCTCTAAGGCAACTCACCACGAATCTGATCAATATTCTTCAAGATCGTAGAACATGGCTGATCACAGGTCAACGAGCTATAAAGTGCTAGCCCATATCAAAATGAATTACAGATATTGAGGTTCATGGACAGAGTTATCAATTCTATTGATAAAGTTAGAACTGGAGCAATCATTCTGTCTAATGTACCAGTAATCAATTTAGAGATGGGAGAACATTCTCGTGATAAACTCAGGTGAGTTATACTCCAAAGTACAATATATTGATGATTATGTACTTCTTTGCTTGTTAAGAGCTTGGATGAAAGAGCACAACAAATGGCTTGATTCATGGACCAAAGTCGCGTATTCATTATCTCTAGCAAGAGAAGCATTGCTGGCAAGTGACTTTTGCATTACTTTAAACCGATTTTTGGGTTCAAGGTGAAATAATAAATTATTCTGGGGAGGAGCCAAGGTCGAAATGGGTACACGAAAGGACGTGTGAACACTGG